ACTGGAAGTATCATTAGCACCAAGGCGGTCTTTTTCTGGGAAAGTCTAGTGAAAGGGAATGGTCTCTTGAAAAGTTATTCGTACATTGGTTTTCTGACTATTTGTTGTTATCTACTCATACTCACCAATCCAGCGTCAATTTTCTCACTTTAGCACTTTGATTTATTAATTTCTTCCATTTTTGAACAGGTTATTTGTAACAAACTGGTTTGTCAATCCTCCCCACTGTGTCGTTCAATGACGCTTGCCTCAAAAGGCTTCAAGACACATGCAAAAAGCTTAGAAAAAGATTTGTTAAAAGTCATATTACACACTGCTTTCATATTGAATGTGCGGCTATTTTGTGCATTTGAATGAGTTATTACATATACTTTGTTTTGTCAGTTGAGGAGTTGACTATGTTTCCTATCCCTTCACCTACGATGCACGGAATTGAAAATTTCGCCTGCTTTTATCTAAATACTGTACACGGTATCTAGGAAACGTACACACTTTTGATCATCGATGACCTACTAATTTCCAAATGTTTTCAGCGCGCGTTAAAACATATCGGCATAGGCATAGATTAGATACATAGAGCCACGGCTCTGGTCACCTTCACTAATGAGTTAATTTTATTTGAGACATCTGCGACGACTTTTTCAAGATTAAACTTGATACTCCCGAAGCGAGTAGCTTTTCACTTCTTCCGAAGTGTAAATTTAACTCCTTCTCCAATGGAGGGACAAGAGCCGATACAACTGCATGTTCAGAATTCTTCACATTTCTGAACACTGAAAAAGATTTTAAAAAAGACTCTCCAAGCTTTGTTTAATCCTCCAAGCAATTATTGCCATTTCATTTTTCATAATAACTTCGCCAGCCAGGTTCGTTTTAATATTGGTCACGTGATTGTTTATAGATAAACACAGTAAATTTGGTTTTGCTAATGATGTGAATCTCCGAATTTTGTAAGCATTGACAGCGCAAATCCATTGAAATGGTATTACATATAGAGACGGTTATGAGGCGCGTCATTTTAGAAGGTATGAAACACGAGATATACATAGAATAACAAATGAACATTTCGTTTTGTAACCACCAAGAGAGTCTTACTGTGCGCCTTACACTCTCTGCCTATGAAAGGTTGCTGCATGAAAGTGAGAAGCAGACTTATCACCCTAATCAGTCATGGTTTGTTACTGCCTCTTTCTGGCGGTAAGTCTTCTGTGATAATGAACAAATGCACGATTGAAGGTTCGCAGTTACAGGTCTTTATTCCGGCTTCCCATGCGATACAACATGCAAATCAAAATGACCTATTGGAGTTGCTCAAGAAGGGAAATTTCAGTCCTAAGGATTATCAATGGAGTGAGAGCCAAGAAAAATTTTTTTTTTGCAAATTTAAGAAGCTCCAAATAATTAAAAGCATTACCTTGATGCGCGATCACGCTTGATTGAGCAAACTTGCGAAAAAATAAAAATCTTGTGAACATGTAGTACGTTTTCTGTGTTTTGAGTGAGAAGAGGGTTTAAAAACATTTTAAAGAAGGTTTTTGTGCCCTCATGCAGCATTATGTAATTATGGGTTTCTGAATAAATGTACTTATACTGACTCTTTTTCTGCAAAATAGCGTTACCCTTTGGAAGAATGCCTTTTCCTCCTCATGCATAATGTTGCAGTGTTACCTTTCACTTGTTTGATACGAGAAATAAATGTCCGTAAAAACATCCTAAAATATTATAAGCACAAATCGGAAAATCAAATTTTCTTTTGGGAAGAAGCTTAACAAGAGATTTACACGACTTTAGCAGTCTTAATATGTCTTCTCTGTGACACGTTATAAACTTCCGGCAATCTTACGATTTTCAGTTGAGCATTACTGATCGTACTCCTTGTCAGCTTTGTCTGTGTTTAGCACAGCATTTGCTTCAAACTGCTCAAATTCGTAGGTTACTGACATGTGTTTCTAATTTCGTGAAAATTCTAAGACGATATGTTATCCAAGTAGAAGGAGTTGAAGGAACAATGAAAGGGAATTGCTCTATAAGCAAAAAAAAATTGATCACGTATGGTATTCTTGGGCTGCCCTTCAATAGCCCATTTATGCTTTAGTTGAGAGTAACCAATCGATAAAAAGATGTTTTTTTTTCTGATTGATTAAATTTGAGTACGCAAATAAAATGTTTATAGAATGCTGAGTGAAACTATGATGTCGCTATACTCCACTATCGTATTAGCCTTGCGCAACCTATTGTAAGGAAAAGTTACGAAGTTACGGAACCTTACTTAGGTTAAACAATGTAAAAACTATTAGACGCTTTTGCGCCACTTAACTTTAACAATTATTAAGCCGACCGGTGTGGCTTGGCTTTAGAACCTCTTATGAGTTGCCTTTTCTTCCTAAAAATTATTGTTCTTTTGTTATATAGATTCAACAAAGCATTGCAGCATTTGTAGATATACATAAAAGTGCTTGGGTACTTTGAACTTCGAGGAATAGGATGCAAAGAGGGAGACAGAATAATCGCCTCGATCAATGGTCAATGCCAAACTTCCTGACCTTCTCTATAAGGATGCAAACTTTTATTGCAGGCCTTGCTTCGAAGTTATGGGTCTTCATTCTGCCTTTTTAAGCGAGCTAACAAAGGGTACTAAGCTAGGACACTTCCAATGATGCTGCATATGCAGTATTTTCGCAATTACTTATAAAAGAATCCAATATCCATATCAATTGGACAACAGCAAAGTTTTTGAAGAAATTAGAATCTAGCCATGAGAATTTAACTGAATCAATACATTCCATGAAATACGATTCTAGTTAGTTGGCAAAATTTCCAAATTGGGAACATAATTTTGAAAGTTCCATTGAATTCGTCGAAAAATAGCTTGAATAAACTACTACATCTAGTTTCGTCGGCAAATTAGATGTACTCGCTTTTCCTCTCGCATACAAACCATAATAAAGATTTACCCTATTGGAAACCAATGCCTCTAATGAAATTTTACTATAGAGAAAAGATCATACAGGAAAAGACTGGCGTATTCCATTGAAAACTGTGAAGATAATTACACCCCATTGAAATAATGAGGGGAAAGTGGGCAAAGTTTGTGGGAGTCACCAGGGGAGTCACTTTGCCGTGCTAAAACACACAAACGAGTTGTTTTACAGAAGTATTGCATTTATTGTTCCGTAACTATAGTAAAATACCTTGAGTATGACTGATATGTTTCATCAGTAATAAGATGTTTGATAATGCATGCAACTCGATATTTTTTTAGAAAGACCTTCGCCATAAGACCAGCGGATACATGGCACATTGAAATATCTTAAGAACGGATTGCCAATTAGCAGAAGAATTGAACAGTAAACAGCAAAAGAACGGTTCAAATTTTTTGGAGTCTTATTGGCGTCATTATCAGTTTAGCTCTGATATGCTACGTGATTGAGCGTGCGATTTGTTTGCAATAAGCATCTCTAATGAAAGGCTTCTGGATAGGATCGATAAAGTCTTAATGTCTCTTATCGCAACATGCAGTGCCTTTAGAATTTATTACTCTTACTTTTATTTAATCTTAGTAAGAGTACTATTAGTTTTTTTTGAGATATTCACCTGGCGTAAGTTTGCTTTTTTTAGATAAAATGATACTGCATCGCATATGGCTATTACCAATTCTAACAGTCGTTTTTGGTTTGGGTACAATGTTAAGCGGGTAAGCCCACTTTTCTACCATTCTAGAAATTCCCCTATCTTGGTATTTTTCGAGAAGTCGAAAATTTAGACATCTCACAAGCAATCTTCCTAAACAACTCACTTTCAGATATGTTATAGAAATTGTGACACTAAATCGCTTCCCTGCACTTCTTCCATGCAATGGGTAATTGCTGAAGGCTACTCTTAATTTAAGCCGCTTTTCAAAAATGCTTATTTAAGTGATAATACAACTTCAATCCCTGAATCTGCTGTATTCGGACAAATTCTCAACATGGCTGCAATTCTATGTCCGTCGCTATTTTTACTTGATGCAAAATAATTTCATCTGAAATTTACAGATGCTCTCACAATTTATGTAGTCCATCTTCAAATTGAAGAATTCTATGGACAGTGTCTACAGTGGAATCAGGCGCGGTGGTTCAAATTTTCAACACTACTGATGTTTGTGGGATTTGCTAGCGCATTTGGGCTAATGTTGGTCGCAAACTTTCGTGTAAGCTCGGTGCCCCTGTTAGCTAAGATGTCAAAGTACATTTTAGTGCATGTTTAGCACTCTGATATTCTTGCTGTGCATCTATTGGGAGCTATGATGGCTTTCATCGGAATGCTAATTTATGGATGGGGACATGTTATTTTTAGGTGAGTGCAGCTTTGTTTATTTGATTTCTTCAATGGTTTAATATTCCATATTCTCTAAAGATCAAGCATTTAGCAGTTCGAGACCTGGAACCCAAATCTCCTATTGGTTATGTCTATATTTTATTTAAAGATTTAAAATTTCATCAATTCACTGCTCTGCGAACATTATTTAACAACCGCAGAAATTGAAGTCATTTTAAGTTGTGGGTTATATGGCTGGCGCATATTTGTCCAATAAAAGAGAACATTTTGCTCTTGTTAGGTGAGAGGCTTAGAGTTGTCAAAGTACCCCCAACATGATCATAGAGATACTTTTACTACTTTTTCAAAATTAAGACTGAATGCCCTTAAAAGTAGAAAAGCTTAGAAACAGCACTGAACGATTAAGAATTATGTGTATCTTTGAAAAGAACTGACGCAATCATCAGGCCAGAATAAGCAAAAAAATACTTTGCATCTTTTCTCACAAATTTTCAAGGGAATAACTGAATATTTTCATGTTTAGCACTCAATCACTCATGACTTAAGTTTCTCGGCTTGCTTAGATTAAATGTATTCTTGAAGAATCCGAATTGCTCACTATCTTTACAAACTTACCAGCTTCCAAATGTTCCTTTAATAAGCATAAAAGCGTCATCATTCTTTCTATTATTCATCCAAAACTAATTTAGTTATATTGTTCTTCCACGGTTGGTTCCTATCCTCATATGTCATGTCCGGCTTCTTTTAATGGTCGTTCTTACATGCCTTCTAGGACTCGGTGAGTTACAAAGAATGAAGTATTATGTAATTCGGACTTATAAATTTGAAGAATTGGCAATCCAACAATTGCAGAAAGTTATCTATAAATAGTGTTCTATCAATGAACTGTTGAAATTTTGGAATTCCACTTTAAGCTGGTAAGAAAAATCCTTTCTTTAGTATTTAGATACACATCGCCACCAAGTTTTGGGCCAGTAATGTGCCTGTATAACAGTATTTTACGAGATTATAAGGTGACAGTGCAATATAACCAATGAAACCAAAAATGTGAGAAAAGTTCTCCATTGCTTCCCAGCGGATGATGCATATTTTAAGTACTAGCAGAGACCCATTTTGAGTGAATGCTTGTTGTAAAAAAATACAACATACTTCTGAATGCTAATGTTTCAGAGTAAATTGATATTTGAAGTTTTTGAAAGACTTCCGATGTAGCGAGCTGCAATCCATTTATTGTGCAACTCGTCTAGAACCTTCAAAGCTGCTAGGTTAGATTGAATCGTCACAGAACTCCACAATGGACTTAGCACGAAGATTCTTGCTAAATAGTTGATTGACCTGATCAAGCTGCTTTTTTCATTGTTGTGAGCTATGACCCGCACAAAAAGTGTTTCGTAAAAAAGTTATAGTGAGAAACAAAAAAGCGCTTGCTATGAAAATTTCGGATTTGCCTTAGGTTCCTACCGTTTTCAATCCGATTTGGATGCATTAGCCAATTGATTCTATTTAGTTCATACCTACAAGGCCTGAATGACCCGAGGTGAGATAATACGCGAGCCGCTGCTAACTTAGTTACTATTTCAGGACATCTTCTTCATCAACATCCA